TCTCTCTCTCTCTCTCTCTCTCCACACTCATCCGTGTGTGCCTGTTTCACTTTGCACCACTCGTCACTCCTCCTCTGCCCTCCTGCAGCAAGCGGCACATTGAGCTCACGATGGACCTGCTAACCCAGCTCGACGGCGACATCGATCTGCTGCTCAAGATCATGTCGTCCTCGGTCGCATTCATCTCTCGCAAGGCCCAGCACACGCCCCTCCCCTCTTCCTCGATTCCGCTCTCTGTCCTCGGCAAGACGGAAGCCATCAGCCCCACCGAGATGGACGAAGCGATCGCCGAGCTCGTCTCGGACTTGATAGAAAAAGCCGACTCCATCCGCAGCATCATCCACCACCTGCCCACCGCACAGGATCTGGCGACGGATACGCAGCTCCAGACGCAGCTCGACCAGATCCAATACGACATGCAACGCGCGAACCACGAGTACGAGCAGGCCGTACACATGGCAAACGAGCTGAGAAAAGAGGTCAAGGCGTTGTTGCAGGTCGTGGCGGATACGCATAGCGCTTCAAGAGCATGGCTTGTGCACGAATTGCAACCATAATCACACTGTACCGAGCAATAGCATCATTCCAATGCGCATTACGAACGCCTGTCCGCCTCGCCAATGAGCCAGCCTACACCGCGACTGAGCGAAAAGCCTGCGAATCCACCAACACCGCCAGCACCGCCGGCACCGCCAGCACCCTTGTCGTCGCCTGCGCTCTTCTTCCAGCCCAAAAAGTCGCGAGCTGCACGCGCCGCATTCACCGCTCGCTCGGCGGGGTCGACGTAGCCACCGCCGCCCTCGGCCGCGCCGGACACGCCATCAAAGTCAAACAGCCTCGCCGTCCTTGCATCCACGCCCTCCTGCCTCGTCGCTGTCTTTGGCCCTGCTGTGCTCGCCCCGCCAAAGTACGACAGCGGCGAGAAGGAGAGCGGCAGGAGGTTGGCAGCACTCCCGACAAGTCCGGCATGGATCCCTGCCCTGGCGCCATCCTTCTTGGCCACCGCCCTGCCCTCGTCGATTTCGGTGGCCAGTTGTTGGTCGAGCGCATTCCACTGGCGCAGCATCCCTGCGAGCTGGTGCGGCGGACACAGTGCCATGGCGTGCGCGAGCATGCCGATGCGCCCCGCCGTATCCGTCCACATCGGATGCTTGCTCAGCTGCAAACAGCTCTTCCACACCACCTCCACCCCCGCATCCCCCATCCGCGACCGCTGTGCCTTCTCCACCAGACGTTGACAGAACGCCGCAGCGGCGTCAAAGTCCTCAGCGGCCGTAGCGGCGTCTGCCAACATGGCCAGCACTCGAACCTCCACCATCCCCTTACCCCCCGCAACCGCGTCGAGGCTACACAGACGATGTGCTAGGTCCAACACCAGCTCCGGCGACCGATGCACGCCCTCCTGCGACGCAACCAGCCGCGCTACCAAGTCCATCTTGTCCGTCGTCGAGCGCATCTCGGCTGGCTCCAACAGCCGACCCGCGTGTCGGATCGACTTGATCTTGAACGAGCCCAATCTGCACGCTGCGTCGATAAAGTCTCGCTGTGCCGTGGCGCGCGGTGAGGAGGGTAGCGCATCCAGCACGCCCAGCGCGAGCCGAACGTCCTTGCTGCGCGTAGACGCCACGCTGGCCTGGTCGAATAGCGACGATGAGACGTCGAGCACGAGCTGCTCGCGCTCCTCGCCGCCTAGCGCGTTCGGGCCCGTGCTGAGCGAGGTGAACAGATCCACGTCGCCCGTGCGCAGCACCTGTCCCAGCAGCAACCGCATCGCCTTGTCGCGCGAAACCAACGCCAACGCCGACTCGCCACCGCACACTTCGAGTGTCGAGTGGAAGAAGCCATCCCACGCCGCTCGGAAGCGCAGCAGCCCCGCATCCGCACCTGCGCGCTCCGGTCGGCCGCCCAGCGAGCTCGGTGGCGCGTTGGCCCGGCCGAATGCATCCATGAGCGACTCGAGCGCCGCAAGCTGCTTCGTCTGCGCCTCGTCGTCCTCCTTCCCCGCCGTGTCGCGTCGGTCACCGCCAAACGCGGCGAGCCAGCACAGGTCCAGCCGCGGCTTGTCGCCCTGCCCCGCAAGCAGCGCGCCGATGGAGCGCAGCCAGCGCACATGCATCTGCATGCTCTTCGCCACCTCTTCCTCGCTGTCCTCGCTCGATACAAGCGCAAGCACTTGGCACGCCGGAACCACGCTCTCGGCGTCTAGTGCAAGTGCGCACCGCAGCGAACGCGCGAGTTTCGTCTGCGGATTGGTCGTCGCGTGGGCCTGGCCCGCAAGTTGCGCCAGCACACACTCGGCTGCGTGCATGAGCGGCTCGGGCGCCTCGAGATCCAGCCGGAAGCCACCCACTGCCGGCCTGGCGTACAGCGTCGCAGCTGCCACCCGCGCCAACTCCGAGGATGCGCTTGACCGTGCCGCCTGCGCAATGACCTCGATGGCGAACGCTCGCGTGTCGCCGCCGTCGTTCCAGTCGATCAGCGCAGTGAGGCGCTGCGACACCGCATCCAGGTCGTGCTCCGCCACCAGCTGCTGCGCTACCGCTGCTGTCGCGTCCTTGTTGCGCGCCGCCGAAACCACCTGCGCGCTCAGCGACTTGACCGCATCTAGGCTGAAGCGCGCCGTCTCTTTTCTTCCTTCGGCAGGGGTGGCTTGCTGTTTACCGTTGCCCTGCAGAGCTACGCTTGGCTTGCTTGCGAGATGGCTGCGAAGCCGCGCGATGGCGTCTTGCACGTCTTGCCCCTCGCACTGCCTCGCCAGCGCGTCGAGCAGCACGTCCGCCTCCGAGTCGCTTCGCATTGCCGCCAGCGCCTTGCCGTAAAACTCGGCCCACTCCCGCAGCGAGACGGCTGGTGCACTGGTCGCGACAGTCTGCCACGCGCTTGCCTCTCTTCCGTTCTTCCACGCGATGAGCATGCCGTGCTTCCCAAGTGTCGCGTACGCCTCTTGCGACGGCGGCGCGGCAGCCACCATCTGGGCGGCGATCGTCCATCGCACCGGTGCCGACTCTTCCGCCAGCCACGCACAGCTCTTTAGCAGCTGCGCGACCATCTCCGCTCCTTGGGGAACCGAGGCGATGCACAGTAGCACACTATTCGTCGGCTCTTCCAGCACAAGCTGCAGCGGCAAGACGGGCAGCGCCATCTTGTCCGCCAGTGCGTGCAGTTGCTGAAACACAGTCAGCCGTTTCGAAAGCTGCTCGAATCGTTGCAGCGCCTCTTGTGCCGTTGCGATCAGTCGCGCGTCGGCATGCTGTTGCTTGAGACTGCTGAGCCACGGTGCGGCGACCGAATGCGTTGCAAGCTGGAGCAGTTGCTGTCCGAGCTGTTCGCGGCGCGAGAGCTCTCTCGCTTCCGGCGCGCGCTCGCTATCCTCGAGCAAGACAGCGTGGATGGCCAAGTGGAACGCTGTGACCAGCCACTGCTTGTCCTTGACCTCACGACAGATCGTCTGCGCATGGTGTGCGATCTCGTCCACCAGCGTGTCGCGCGCGTCCGCTGCCGGCGACGCAGAGCGCCACGCCTCGATGAGTTGCACCCAGTGGCGCTGGCTCAGCCGCATCCGGCTCGACTTGGCCGCCGATGTAGACGCTGAGGCCGGCATTGCTTCCGCCTGCTATGGCCTTATGATGTAAGCGGGTGATGGCTTGAGTGTGGTCCAACCGTAAACGCCGTGCGCGTATTCCAAGGTCGAAGTCAGCCGGACTGTAAAAGACTCGTCTCTGTGATCAGAAGGTTCAAGGATGTGCCGAGCTGTGAGTCAAAGTGCGAGTCGAGCGATGGTGTGAATGTCGAGAGGCAAGAACGGCATGAAGAACGAAGAGCCGCACCGTGCGCCGCTGCTGCCACCTCACCTCCGCCCGCCTCTGTGAATTCCGACTTCCGAACCAAATTCCTCGCCTCGCCCTCCCCTCCTCCTCCTCGCACCCCCACCTCAACACCTCACACTTGCCGCCTCTCCTTTTCAAACGATCACCTGGCGTAACGGTGACGGTGAAGCATGGTTCGTGGTATAAAAGCGTGACCGATCAGCCAAAAAAGAAAAGAGATATATAAATACAAATGCCAGCATCCTGTCGGGATGATGCTACGAAGCGCCGTTGGAGATGGACTGCAAAAACGTGATGATCGAGTTGTCGTCGTAGGTATCCCAGTTCATCGGGTATGCAGGGGGCACCAGGCTTTCCGAGAGGTACTGCATTGTCGATCCCCCCGCTGCCGGCGTCCCATGTTGCCCTGCCGCATTGCTGTGCCCATGAAAGACAAAGTTCGCTTCGCCTGCCGCCGGTCCATACTGTCCATTCTGCGGTGAAGAGGTGGAAAGCAGCGAGGGCGAACCGGATGTCTGGCTGGCGTTGCTGTGGTACAGATGCTGACCCGTATACCTCGACATGGACGCCCCACCATTCCTTGGCGAGGTACCCCCGGCATACGGCGCCCGGAACTGCGCTGGCACACCCACCGCACTCGACAGCTGCGTGAAGGGATTCAACCCCATCGCCCACTTTGCGTCTTCCGAGATCACCAGATCCTCGGCATTCACGGGCGAATTCTCGTTGATCGAGATCGTCGACGGCAGCTTCTTGCAGCAAAACCTCAGGAACCTCGCGAGGTAGCTGCCCTGCTCCAACGGATCCTCCAGCGACGGCGAGGTTGCATCGGCCGCCTGGCGGATCGCCGAACACGCCTGGATCGCCAGCTCCTGCGGCATGGCTCTCCAGTTGTC